TTATACACACAAAAATACAATATTACTTATCATATTTATGCAAAAATATAGATAAAAATGCAATTTCTGTGTCTCCGACTAGTCCCCGACTAGGCGCCCGCCTAGCCGCCTAGGCGCTGGGTTGGCGCCCGACTAGCGCCTAACGCCTTTTAGAACATTGCCTGGAAGGGTGTTCTTGAACATATCTACCATTGTTTTACTCCCAGCTTTACTCTGCCACGCTCTGAAAACTTGATAAATAGTGAGCCATTGTGTATTTGGGATACCAAAAATGCCCTATAAATAATCTCCAAACATCTCTAGCAATTTGACATTAATAAAACAAATGTTCCAAAGTATCATCGTGATTCCCGCACATAGGACATCTGGAAGGATTAAAAATAATGTTAAATCTGGTCATCTTGTCTGAAATTGGGAGGATACCCTTGATGATTTTCCATTGAAGCAATTTCACTTTTAATTGTTGTTTTGGATGCCAAATGTGTTTGTATGTAAATGTTGCAGGAAGATTAGCTCTAACTTCATTATAAGCAGACTTGAAAGTAAAATTACCATTTTCTTCATCATTCTAGAGGAGGATTCCAGAAGAGCTAGTTGAGCAGAGAGCAACAACTAGATCATTTATGAGAAAGATCCGTCTCCAAATTGTCAAATATGTAACCTTAGGTAACATATTATTACCCTTGTTATATTTGGCTTTGATGAAATTAGTCCATAAGAATTGCCTCATTTCTCCTTTCCACCATAGTCTTAGGGTAAATGCTTTTTCAACACCAGTATGAGATCTCAATCCTACCCCCCCATCAGTAGGATAGCATAATGAATTCCAATTAATCAAATGATATTTCATCTTGCCATTAGTAGAGCTCTAAAAGAAAGAGGCCATTTTATTTTCCAAAACATTGATAGTTTTTTAGGAAGAGTAACCACAGCCAATAGGTGAAAAGGAATAAAATTTGGGACATGTTTAATGAGAATAAACCTCCCTCCCTGAGAGAGTTTTTTCTGCCTGCATGGTGACAACTTCCTTTCAATTTGACTGATGATATGAACGCAGTATTGAAATATGTTGATTCTCTTATAAAGATAAACTCTTAAGTATTTCATTGACAGAGATGTTTTCTGCATACCCAACATCTCCTTGATAGTAGATGCTCTACCAATAGCAGACTTGCCACAGAGGAAAGAGCTCTTATTAAGAATGCCTTTTTATTTACTTTCTTTTATACCACCTACATATTGTAGAGGAGGACACTTGCATATCATAGCCAAAGCTCTAATATTTTTCCTTTGATGCAATGATATTTGTTTCATTTTCTTATTATCTAAGGCAATCCTTTTTCTGCCTGCATTACCTCTCGAGTTGCTTTGCACGTTTATGGTTACATCATCATGCATCTGTTCTTTTAATTTGCTTTCTTCCACATCCTGTGGACCATTTCTGTTCTGACTTTGAACTCATTGACAATGTTAGTAATAACACCCATCTGAAGAGTCCCTTGAGTAGACATGCGAAACAACTTCTCTATTATGCACATTTTATCTTGTTCTATTAATTAGGCCTGACATGTTGTGAAACACTGGGGGAGCTCAGCAGCTTCCATTTGTGTGATGTTGTTCAAGGATGTTTTGTTTGTAATGGACTTGTATTTATAGGAATAGTGTTAATGTAGAATTTGGAGGGATTTGTGATGTTTAACCGTTTTCACACTCCATTTGGGAGGGAAATCTGAAAATGGACAATAAATATCTTTAACCATGCACCATAGCAGAACTGATGGTTCTACAATACATGACATTCATTCGTTTTTTACTTCTCCAAAAAAGTTGTTCTCTTAAATTTGGAAAAGTCAAATGTGACTTTTTTTAGAAACGAAAAGAGTACCATATATGTATAAAATTAATAAGTTTTGCATAAACATATTAATTAAAATAATGGTCAAATTGTACCATCTTTGACTGGAAAAGTCAAAGATGGCTAACTAAAATGGGGGCGAATGTAGTATTTTTACCTTGTATTTTTTTGTTTTATCAAAATTGAGTTTTATGTAATTTCAGAATGCGAAAATTAAATTTTATTTAGTAAAACTTGTTTTATTATTGATAGTGATCAGTTAACTTTATAACCAGTCAAACATCATAAACAACGTTCGAACCCTTGCCTAGGACGGAGGGAGTACTTCGCAGTAAAACAAAATAGATTAGACTAGGCTCAATCGAAGTGAAAAAAATCAATAAGTGTTAAAGTATATCTGGAAAAATCAAAACATTCTCATTCCTGTTGTGAAAAATCAAGGGGTCCAATCGTTTTGGCTCCAAATTTTTTCGGTGCCTCAAACCATCTTGGATAGGATAGTGTCACTTTGTAGAATTTTTTTGTGGGGTGGTAAGTATTCTAAGGTGGCGTGGGATGATATTTGTCTTCCAAAAGAGGAAGGAGGCCTCGGCATTCATAATGCTAAAGTTTGGAACGATAGCCTCCTCTCTCGCACACTTTGGGATGTCCACAAAAAGAAGGATACCTTGTGGGTTCGGTGGGTCAATGGCATATACCTTCGAGGAAAAAGTGTGTGGGATTTTGTCCCACACAGCCGGGACTCGCAACTCATGAAGAGACTGGGTCTAATTCGAGACAAAATTCGAGGGTGTTTTAACAACCTAAATGAAACCTTAATGGGTCTTAATGCGAGATGCATTAACGACAAATTGGTGTCGGGGAAAGTGTATGAACTCCTAAGAGTAAAAGGGACCCCTAGGACTCCGATGAGTTTCATCTGGAAATCCTACATCCCTCCAAAATTCTCTTTCAATGCATGGTTGGCCTTGAGGAACCGGCTTCCTACACAGGATAGCCTCAGTTACCTCCATATCGTAAATAGATGTGATCTGTGCAAGGGTGGATTGGAAACAATTCCACACCTTTTCTTTCTTTGCCCTTTTACGTGCAGGGTATGGCAAAAGGTTAGGGCATGGATCGGTTTTGGGCAACAGATGACTACACTCCTTAGTGCAATCAAATGGATTTCCAAGACGCGCAAAGGAGCAACGATGAAAGCCAAGGCAGGGAGGCTTGCTTTTTGTGTTGCGGCCTATTATATTTGGCAAGCTAGGAATGAGACGAGATTTGATGAAGGCAAGAAGACTGAAGATGATGTTGTTGCTAAGATAAAGCATGTGGTCTACAAGATACTCTTTAGAATCTACCCACATGACTTGATAAACTTTTGACGAGGAGTCAAGTTTTTTGGATGCCACGGCAGAGGCTATAGGTGGGATTAGTGCACGTGCACCCTTGCAGTGCTATTCGTAGTTTTGACTTTTTTGGACTTACTGGCCGCATATTCTTGCTTATTGGCCGTTTTGAGTTACACTATATGCTTAGCCTCTCTTCACCCTCTCCTTTTCTCATGAAATGGGGGGGGGGGGGGGGCTGTAGACTTTTTGGACACATTGTACATGTTAATTTTGCTTGGGTGTTAATATACATTTACATTTCATCCAAACAAAAAAAAAAGGAAAATGATTTAAAGTAGATATACTGAAAAATTTGAAATAGATAGATAAACAGATGAAAGGTATTGAGCTTTATAAATTCTAGTTCTTTAAATGATATTTTCTCAATAAATTCATAAATGTTTATCAAGTCACTATTTGAAGTCCACCTTAGTTTCTTGTACCGGCCCTAGGCATAGCTAGTGATATGAGCTTTTGCCCAAGGCCCGTTGGAGGGCATCATAAAGTTATATGCATATATGTCTTTTTAAAATTAAATATATTGAAGGGTAATTTATATTGAATCTTCAGTCATTACATGTCCAATTTGTAATTGAAATTACAAATATTTTAAGCAATTATATCTGCATTCAAACATAGATTTTGGTGTTTAGTATTGTTTTCCCATTAAACAAACTTTTAGAGCATGTCATACACACGTTTGAATAAAAACTTAAACAACACATGTTGTCTCATTTTCTCCAATCTTCCATTCTTTAATTAACTTTTGTAGTCTCATTGAATCCTCAGTCTTAGAAACGAAGCTCGACTTTTGGACTTTTGCACTATATACATAGTCCCCCTTCATCTCAAAGTATATTAGTCTGCCTGTGGGCCTTTGGAATTTCAATTAGAGAAAGAAATCAAATGATTCACATTTTTTAATCTCCACAGAATGTTAATTATATATATATTTTCGCTTATGTATAATTCTAAATGTTTGTTATGTTGGATCATGTTGGAGAGCCTCATTCTTGATGCACTAATTTGCATAACTTCATATACTCCGTAGTTAAGTTTCAATTTTGCTACTTGCTTTGCAAAGGTCCGCCATCGCCCATCGATCCGCACGTAGGCAGCATAAAGTACTGGCACAAAGGTTGGAGAACCCATGCCCATCAATATTTCGATCTCAATAAGTTTACAAAATTCTTCTTGAGCACATTTTTGTGCACAAATCATCTTACACATGTCTGTGAATAACAGTTGCTCAGAAACGTGCCCAAGACGATATGTGCACAAAAGTGTGTACACATATTTTTTTGAGAAAATGTAAACTAATAATCCAACCTTTTAGCGGTATTCTTACAATAGTCCCACATTTTTGTTATTCATGAATAATCCAACTCTTGCACCTCATCTTCATTCACTGGTTTCTAATCCAACCCTTGCACCTCATCTTCATTCACTGGTTTCTGACCGGTTGATGACCTGATATTCCAAGTTATTTTCTTATCTTTGCAAACCATTATACCATAAATCTCACATTTCACAAAGATAATATTTTGCAAAGATAAGAAAATAACTTGGAATAACAGGTCATTAACCGGTTAGGGAGCAACGAATGAAGATGAGGTGCAAAGATTGGATTATTCTTGAATAACGAAAAGATGAGACTATTGTAAAAAGACTGCTAAAAGTTTGGATTATTAGTTTCCAATTTGCCTAATTTTTCCATAAATTTAACAGCTATGATATGTTAACAGCCACATATTATGGATTTAGGGGTGAAATTCTAACTCATTCACATACGGAAATACGAAGTACGGAGTATAACATTTTCCTTCCATGTAGCTTGATTCAATCTCACAAATCTATAGACATACTGTGAATCTGTGATATGTATGCGAGACTTCACAAGTTTGCCAACCAATTAGATAATTTTATACATGCATGATTGAAATTGGGAGCTTTTTCCCAAACGTGCCTCCAACGTCATCATGTCTATGGATTATATTATACAAATGGAAGAATGGGAAATCAAGAATGAGTTACTTTAATTACATTACAAGTGAAGAAAAATGAGCATGAGTAGGGGCAGTGCTGTTAATGGTGACTTGTAATGCAAGGCAAAATGTGACATTTTTGCCGATGATGATGATTCTCCTCTTATGATTCCTCGAATCCATCCATTCACCAATCCATCCTGGTGTCCGGGGTCCAAAACACCGGTAGTTTGGTTGACCGCCGGAGGTGCACTCACCGAGGATATTCCGATGACCGGAGAGGGCAATTGTACAGGTGTAGAGGAGGATCTTTGCATCTGGCTGCAAGAATTCAGTTACACATGACAAATTAGAATAGAAATTGTCTAATTTCTATATCTTTATGTGTAAAGATATTATTCTTTCCAGACTGTCTATCCCAAAGCTATGGTCTAATCTTAAAAAAGAAAAATGTAATTCCCATGTTCCCACCGTCCATGTCTCCATGATATTATATCTGATTATTCATTTTGTCCTTAGCATGGGCGTAGTCACAATATTGGCTGGACCGGCTCAAAGTTTTGTTTGAGATAAATTTTTATAATAAAAAGAAAATTTAAATTTAGGATGAGCTGTGCTTAATAGGCCAAATTGGTAAAAAGAAAGTGTAATTTTTCAAATTGGTAAAAAAATAAAACTCCTAAAATGTTTCTGAAGTCAAATTTATAAACAAACATATGACTTAAATCATTAAAGTTACTTTAATTATCATTTACGGGGTTTATACTCCCTCTATCTATATTTAAAAGTTCACTATGACAGGTTTGTCACACACTATTTAAGTATGAAATAGTACGATTAATAAATAGTTTAGAAAAAAGTAGGAAATAGTGTAGAAAAGTGTGAGAGAGAAAAAAGTAAAAAAAAAAAGTAAGAATAATTGAGTATTTTCAAGGAAAAAACTTATATTAAAAAGAAAAGTGTAACAAGTTTTAAATACGTCCAAGAAAAGAAAGTGTAATTAACTTTAAAATATTGGATGCAATACTTCGTATTACTTACCAAAATGCAACAATACCAATAATTTAGATTTTATTTATGCATTTTACTCCATCAATTACATTTAAATTTTATAGTTCAAACTATATAACGAAACATGTCAAGTGAAAAAATTTAAAGAGTCTGATTGAATATTAGATTATGATGTTTTTACTTAGACTATTTTCAATATCAAACCTGACTGGACTTAAACAGGACTAAACTTAAGCACATCATCCCAGACCAACAAATTTCATGTCAAATAAAAACATCAAAGTAAAAAAGTAAAAACATCCTAAAAATATACCTTGTGGTTGAAGGACAGAACGTAATCTTATAATCGGCTCCCAAACAGGTAAAAGTGCTGGTGGCGTCATCGTACGCGTAGCTATACGATCTCGGGCAAGCCGTTTTGAACATCGCCGAATACGACGACGGCTTACACGTGGAAGGTGAACCATACGCGCCGCTGCAACAGTATTCCGGACTCCCAAACGCTTCGCACGCGCTGCTGCACGCCTGCCCATCCTTTGCCCGCAGCGCCTCCGGGCACATCCGGTTCAAGTCCGCCGCGCACCCCGTCGACCCGCATGCCCCAGACCCGCCAATGGCCTCCACTTGCATCGGCAAGTTGTACCCGTCGACCAGGCTGACGTCGTAGAAGTCTTGGCTCCCCGAATTTCCGATCGTGAACTCCGCCAGTGTCGCCGGCGGTATCGCGCCGGCGCCATTACACTCTATTTGATTGGAGCCGCAGTCGGCGGTGGCGCAGCTCCCCTGACCCGTTCCGGCATCAAATGCGCAGCCGGTTCTGCCCCAGATCCGACCCGACCAGCTCGAAGAGACTTGAAAGGCCCGAGACCCGCCCGGTGGAAGTTCGAATCCGGTACTGCCCAACCCGGCACTGCCCGCATTACCCAAAATTCCGGGCCATACTGTATAATCACATTTGTTAATCACCATAAAATTAGCACCCATTACTCCTGCAAATGAAAAAACAAACAAACTTTTATCAATAAATGAAGAATTATATATGTGCCCAAATTGTGAAGATTATACATTTAATTACCTGGAAAAGCCACCCCTATTTTAAGGAGGAACAAAAACAGAACAGAGGCATTGAAATTTAGTGACATTTGGATTGGAGATCACAATAATAATAATAATAACAATTACTATTATCAAATGATTTCAAGAAACAGAGAGATGGAAGAAGGAATAGGATTAGAATGTAATTAGGGTGGTTGATCTTGATGTTAGCAGCAGTGGGCTTAAACATAAGAAAGTATGATGAGAATTTTGATGAATTTAGATAGACAGGTATATCAGTTAGTTGGATAGAGAGAAAAAGAGAGGGGTGGCACTAATTAAGATTCCAATGAATATGTTATGCTTCTATGTGTATATATATATCCATAGTAAGCACATGGGAGTTGGTCGGTTATCAGACTAAATTTACATTAAAAAGAAGATTTTGAAGGTAAAGTTGAATTGCTATACTCGTATTGTCGGGTATTCGGCAAAGGAGTCCACGAAACTATCCAAAAAAAATTAGGCTATTTAGCTACCAAGTTTCTTTTTTTTTTGGATAATTTTTTCTAACTCATATAGGATCTGCTCAATGTTTTAGACCAACATTCTTGAACTGGAATGAGATTCAAACCTGTGACCTCCTCATTGAGAGTGTCACAGTGATGTCATCAGATCACAAGGTACTTGACAAGCTACCAAGTTTCTTAAACGAAAGGAATTAGTTTAGGCAACTAGGGGAAATGGACGAGAAAAAGAAAACCGAACAAGTTTAGAGTATGCTTAGTACAATACAATTAGTTGAAAATGTACATAAGTTAGAATTAAGGTGGATGATGTGTTCTTACCAAACATGCACTTGGTGTTTTGAGCTTATTTATTTTTTAGGAAAAAAAGACATCATTTTTTTAACATCATAGAATCTGAAAGTGGTATTATTGTGTTTCTAATAGTCTATTCGTGCTTAAAACTTTTTCATCTTTAATCTTTTGAGTCAAGAAAGTTAGAACATATCCAATGCTACAATGTGTCCGATGCATATGTGATATGCGAAATATAAACACAAAAGAATAAATTGATGATATGTGATATGCTCCTGCTTTTCACGGTCTTATGTTTTTTGGTAGGAGAAACAAATCTAACTAAAAATCATACTTAAAAAAGAGAAAAGCACCAAAGACCAATGATAGCTCAACTTAGATGTCAACTTTGACAAAATTTTAAAAAACGGGATATATGCTACATATTCAAAGTAGATAATAATAAATGCATAAAACAGTAACTTTGAAAGACTACTAAAAATGTTTTGAAAATATGATATAAAAAAAGTTTTGAAAACAGAAAAACGGGTCAGGGGGGTCGAAAATCAACTATGCACAAAATGAAAATGGTACATCGTTTTTAGACAATGTTCGAATTGAATGTTTCATTTGTAGTTTAGATAAATAAGCATTCGTAAGCAATAAGATATACTGTCTTTGCCCTGTTTCTGAATCACGTTACGTAACTAATGAATTAATTATACGTTATTCATAAAATTTGGGAAAATAATCAATATTATGCATCAAATTTTGCTGATTTTACGTTTAGATAGTGTTGATTTTCCAGAAGTCATAACTTTTTACTCGTAATGAGTTACGGGGACCATAATATATCAAATCGAAGGTATTTCAGAGCTCTATACTCTCAAACTTTCAGCGGGGTCGGCTGACCCCCTTGACCCCCCTTGGCTCCGCCTCTGTTGAAAACCAAACTTGCATGTTGAATTCTCCATTACATAAAGTATTAGGATTGCGTTTGGAATATCACACATGCGCATGCACAAGTGGTGTAAACATTAGATTTTTGTACACCCGCGTTAATTCGTACAATATCTTTCAAATTGAGAATACAAATAATCACAAATTTCACATATTACAAAGTTTAAGATAAGACCTTTTAGGGTAATACTCTGTATATTGAAACTGCCATTCAGTTATGTCCATCTTTCCTCTCGATCATATTATTAGCTGGTTCTCTCGATATACACGATAACACGAGTGCATTATCGATATGCTGTTGTACTTATACGTTTTTTCCTTTAATTTCTAAAGAGAAAAGGCTGAAGAGAGGAAAAGGAAAAGTTCACCCCATCCAAAAAATCAGACCGAGTTAATCTCAGAAAGATTTCCCTTTTCTCCATGCAAGTGTGAAGTGTCCAAGTTGCACACAAGTTTCCGTTCGGTAGCCAAGTTGCACACAAGTTTCCGTCCAAGTTGCACACAAGTATGACTAAACTATTCCCTAAATGCACAAATAGGATTATCTTATTGATATCTTCCTATCATACCAATACATAACTTAATAGGATAATCATATTTTAATTTATAATAACTACAAAAAAGTCGTAAAAATACAAAAAATCTAAATTATTTTAAAAAATACAAAAATAATACTACCTCCATCCCACTATGTTTGGGATAAAGGGGTGTGACACAACTTTTAAGAAAAAGTGGAATTGTGTGGTTGATATTGAATTGATAAAGTGTGAATAAAGTAAGAATGAATTGTAACCACTCAAATATTACCAAATATGATATGAGACAAACATAATGGGAAATACGAAAAAGGTAAAACGGGACAAAGTTAGGGGGACGGAGGGAGTATAAATTAAAAAATATACGTAGTATTTTTTAAAAATTAAAAACTTTAAAAATAAATAAAAATAGATAAAACACCTTAAAAAAATTATAGAGGTCTTTTCCACGGTCTCGGCTACCGCCCTGCCAAGTTTCCCCTGATCGAGTAAAAAAATTTCATTTTGTGTGAAAACTGCCATTTTGTTTTTGCAAATGCCGGGATGATGACATTTTTACTCTTTGAAAATGTCAAAATCTTCTCGAAAACTGCCTTTAATTCAAAATTTCATTTTTTACACATGTTGGCATTCTTTTGGGTGATCGGAGCTGATGGTGCTGGGATATTGCTGAGGTGGTGGCATAGGCCTGCATAAGGGTCAAATAAGCCCTCAAACTAACTTAAAAAGTGCAAATCACCCCTTATATAGGAGGCTCTGTCCGGACGCCGCCATTTGGGGCGGTTCTAGGTGAAATTTTTTGATGAATTTTTTTTAGCATCTTCTTCATTAAGTCTAGTTTACTCATACCAAATTTCAGCTAAAAATGCAATCGAGAAAGCAGTCAAATGAATTTTGGAAGATAACTGCGCAGTTAAACAGCACAGTACATTTCAGAAAATCATTTGACTGTCTTCCCGGTTGATTTTTTATTTTAAATTTGGTATGAGTAAACTAGACTTAATGAAGAAGATGTGCAAAAAATTTCATCAAAAAATTCCACCGGGAACCGCACCAAACGACGATGGCCGGAAAGAGCCTCCTATATAAGGGGTGATTTGCACTTTTTAAGTTAGTTGGAGAGCCTATTTGACCCTTTAGCCTTTTTTTATCTTTTATACATTTTTTATTTATTTTATTTTATTTTATTTTTTCATTTTTTCAATTTTTATTTAATATTTATTTCGTGTTTTTTTTTTGACATTTTTATTATAAATCAAGTTGTGTCATTACTTTTATATGTTAAATATTAATGAAATATGAATTGTATTAAAACAATGGAAGGGTAAAATGTGAAAGCTTGTCCTATTTATGGAATTTTTAAGTTATAATCCTATTTGGCAATTGAAGTTTCATTTAACTTAGTCCTATTTAGAGGATTCTCCTTTTTTTTAATCTTGCCCACTTTCTCTACAAATTATTGAAGATATATAGTTGTTCAATTTTATTCATTCTTTTTCTTTTATCAAGATTCATTCTTTATATATAACTTTTTTATTAATAAAAGATTATAAATATAAGGTTTTACTGAGATTAAATTATTCCAACTATTTGGCGAAAACTTAGAGCGGTTAAGCTCTTTTATTCTTTTAATCAAGTTTTATTTATCAAACCGCTTATATACATATATACAAGTAATAACACTCCTATTTGAGAAAGTATAATATCCTATTTAGATCAATCCCTCTAAACAATTTTCTTGAATAGGTTAGGAACATACACTACTAATTTCTTGTATGATTTTCTTGATAGTAGTTTAACCTCTTCACTTTCTAACCTTGACCCTGGTCTAGTCCAAATTTAAAAATGTCTGCAATTTCAGTGTAAAAGATTCAGTGTAATTTTTTCTAAACGATATTCTTTGTACTGACTGAGTCCGATTTAGTGTCTTGGCTCCACCTCTAGCCTCGATCACTATATATAACATACATCTAGTTCTCCGTCTAGGCATACAATTAAGGATAAGGTACTAGATTTGACCGACAAACTTACTAAAGGTATATAATGTAGCCCAGAAAAGGTAGGAGCACTAGAGCAGATATACATAGAAAGGTGTAAAAATATACTTTCTATATGAGTAAACATTACACATTTACACATTAAAGGTTAGAGCATCTCCAATGGTAAAATGTGCACGGTGCACACGTGGCATGAGAAATAGCCACATAAATATTAGTAAATAAATTACTTCTCTCCTTATTTGAATGATTTTATATAGTTTTGGTAAGTTTTTTTCTATAATGTCAAGGAGACCGTCTAGATGTTGACATTGTTGTTGACATTGCAGGGAAAAACTTACCAAAATTGTATAAAATTATTCAAATAAGGAGAGATATAGTTTATTTGCTAATATTTATGTGGCTATCATTCATGCCACATGTGCACCGTGCACATTATAGCATTGAAAATGCTCTTACAAAATCACCCATATCATGAAGTGGCCCTCCTATGAAAAACGGCATGGTGATAGAATTATTAAAAAGTGACAATAACAAATCGACAAAAAAATGAAAGACAACACGATCCAGACAAAATATCTGAAGAGTGTTGAAGTACCACAATCCTGATATCATGTTGATAATCAGGATGGAATTCCATGTCTTAATGCATTCTTAGCTTGTAAAGAATAAAAATTTAAAAGGTTAATCCAACGGCCAGGGAGATAATGTTGCGAAAATGAGTTTCCACGTCCGTCCATGTAGGATAGGCAGACATGCATGAACATTTCCACGCCATTTTTGGAGTGTGATCTCCATCTCAAAGTTTGTTCTTATAGAGAAAATGATGCGAAAATGTTCTTTCTTAGATCTACTATTATAAAATATAAAATTTATTAATTTCGCATAAATATACTATTTCAAATGATTGATCAAGGTTTATCAACGATCATTATTAGCTGGAAAAGTCAAAGTTAGATAACTAAAATGCGACGGAGCTAGTATTATTTAATACATCAAGTCACTTTTAATACATCATGTCAATTTTAGTATTATTTAATACTCCGTAATAATAATAG